ATTCGCCGTCCTTCTGCGCAGAACAGTAATCGCGCGCTCAATGCCACGGATCGGTTTGTGCAGAGCATGGGTCTTGATTCTACGACCATTGACGATGGTACTGATCTCGTGGACGGCATGATGGACCGGATGATTGATGAGGTTCCGGTGTTCGAGGTTGACGGGTCTTTCTATGATCCCAGTGCATCGAAACAAGTTTCACGCCTCGCCCATCCCGTCCTCTTGACGATCACTCTCCTTCCTCAAGCTACCACTATCTCTCCCAAGCCAGTCAAACCATCAGATCCAGTAATTGTCCGGCGCAGAATGGAACTTCTTGCATCTGACATGATCACGCGCGCTCTTGTCCTCGTTTCGAGGAAGAACTACCCTCAAGCCCAGAAGATCATGAACGAGACCAAACGCATCTTGCACACTGTGCTGCAGAGCATCTCCAAAACACTTCCTCCACCCAATACTGAAGGCACGACGATGCGTAACCGCAAGGATGTCCTCACTCTTGCTGCGGTGCGTGCGATGCAGGCTATACTCCAAGACCTTCAGATTTTGGCAGAGGCTTTAGAAGAAAATGTCGAGCTGTTTGCACATGACCAGCGGAATTTTGGTGCACAGCAGGTGCGTGCATGTTTCTTTTTTTGAAGATTTAACAAGTAAGACTGATTGTGGGCCACGATTATAGGCTATGATATTGCGTGACCAGAAAAGTTGGAGTGGACGCAGTGCCACAGAACGCCTGTTCTGGACCATTGACAACTCCATAGAACTGGTTTCTCGGAGTACCGATTGGGTAGCGCGCGACTGATACCCCTGCCCCAAGACCCTCTTTCTTTTCTCTTTTTTATTATGCCCCTCAACTGGCTACCCTATCTCATTTGTGTTCATGCTTTCTCGTTCTGTTATGCCAGTGTGGTTTCAACCTCATTACGTTCCTTCCCTTGTGCCACTGTCCTTCCTTGTCCTTGTCCTTAAGTATCACCCAGCTCCGGACCCTCTTAATGTAACCTCCCGCAGTCTCGTCTTTATGTCGAGGGATGCGCTTTATGAATCCTGTCTTCCTGGATGTTCCTAAATTTTTATTTCCGCGTGTTATTTACTTAACTGTGACTTCTCATTATATATCCACTCCCACTTTTCTTTTATTCCTGGCCCAAGAGGTGGGAGTAATGTAGTTGTTTGATTATGTAGGAAGGAATAAAGCTTTTTCATCATCATTCTCCTGTTCATTATAATGAGCGTAAAGTACCTATGTATGATGAAATTGTCATGGCGTGGAGGCGGGCTGTTAGTGTCTATTCATAACCTAGTCGTTGGCGCTCTTCGCGATCACGTTCGAGTTTTGTGACTTTATTTTCGGTTTCGGTGAGGACGTCGTCCCATGCCACGAAAAGTTCAGAGAGCGCATCCACCTAAAAGAACAAGTCAAATTGTGAAAACTGGTTGAAGATGTAAAAACGAATACGCACATGAGTAGCATGTCTGTCGACAAGAGCTGCTATTCGTTTCTCTAACGACGCAGCCAATCTAATATCCTCCTGATGCGCTTCCAAAAGCGCGTCCAAACGAGGCTGCAAGGTTTCATAGTCTAAAGACAATCGGAAATGAGAATCTCGGTGAACGATCAATGAGAGTCTGCACGACGGACCTGCAAGCTTTCCAGCTGCTGTCACGCCTTTTTGTTCTAGCATTTCGATCTCGCGCATGTCCCTATCTGCCGCTCGAATTTCTGGTTCCATCTCTACTAGGAGCGCTTCAAGTTCTTCTGGGGACATGTTTTCGTATGCCGGGGCTGGCCCAGGGAGCACCCCTGACAGAGCGAATGCTGCAGTTAGTAGATGGGCGTGTAGGTCATCTGTAGTAGAGGATAAACGCGTCAGAAACGTGATGGAAGACGTGTTTTGATGACCTTACATTTGCTCATGAATCTCTGAAGACCGTCATTGGATTGTATGACGTTGTCGAGACGCTGTTGTACGTCCTCGGCTAAGCGAATGAGGGTTTCACCGTGCTTGAGCTCTGGCACTTTGTCCTTTCCTTTACGATCCCGCGCATCCTGCCGCACGCCTAGAATCAGCGCTTCCAGCCAGCGGAGTCTCAGCTCCAGCGATAGGACGGGATCTATGACGGGAGGCGCGGTTGATGGTTCGAGTTGTGCTAAAGGTGTCACAGCAGCCGGAGTCAGCTGTTCTGCAGACAGCTCTGACTGGACATCATCCAAAGATTCTACGAGTTCCTCGAGGGAATGCGAAACGGACCCAACACTCATTTGATGTCCAAGTTGGCTGGGGGGAGGTGATGACGGGGGAGGTGTGGAAGATATTATACGATGTCGCTGGAAATCTCCCAAGAATACACTTCCAATGGCTGACATGGAGACAGAATACCGTTAATCGTGAGATATTAGCCTTGTATCTTAATACGTCTCGTAGTGAAGTTGTTCGTTATTGGAACGATCTACTAGGTGGCCTACTAGAAAAGGGACCAGAAAGCCTCGTGCCTTTCTCCTTGACTCGGAAGCCGCGCGCACTTGCTAGTTACTATCTGTGATCAGGTTTTCCGGGGGGCGAATGCGGCGCCAGGGCCCAGATAACATTCGTAATTCACACATGTAAGTAAAAGCGTTCGAATGTCCAGTGTACTCCGAGTCGCTAACTACAAAATATCGTAGTTGTATCGTACAAATGATCAACATGATAAACGCGGCTTCCAGGCGAACTGATAAATATCTTATGTATGTCAGTAATAATACAATGGACGACGGAGTGATGTTTAAATATGTATCAGTTTATAGTTAGAAATAATGCTTGGCTTGGATATACCATAATAATTCATGTATGCGACGACGCACCAAGGGATAGAACACATCATTGTATCACTGAAGATGAAGAAACCGTACTCCGTACGTTTGTGGTGGAAATCGCTCAAGCTCCGCAACAATACGTTCTCCTGTGGATACTCTTCTGAACCGGCCATCGCGACGATGTTCCAGCAGGATCGCAAAGAATTGATTCTTGAGTCGTTGACGAAGCAGCGGCATGGTAATATGGTATACGTTCGAAGAGTCATAAGACAGTCGTGGATCCCAGGTTCGTGCCAGCAGATAACGAGATGAGGGATGGTGGTCAGGTGTAAACGTTTCCAATGTCTCGGAGGTGACAAGACTGAATGGTCGGATGCCGTCTGCACGACAAGAGTATGACCCCGAGACCGGTGTGAAGTAAAGCGACAGTACTTCATGCACAAAGCACGGCACAGTGATGTGAATTTCAGCGTTAAGAGTGTATGGCCATGGGGGCTTCTCAAGCAGTCTGGCAAGGGGTATCCCTTCAAACGGAAGACTTGTAGATCTTCTGAGCGAAAAAATGCTCTGACTGCTTGTGGTCCTTGGAATGTGTGGTGCGCCATCGTCGTCAGACCTATCGACGCTTAGCTCCTGACCTGTGTTGTGACCATCCCGGACACGAGACGAGCTGAACATAAAGCATGTAAGCACAAACACGTACTTCGATTGAAAAAACTCACTTTCTTGCCCTGCGGATAGCCTTTTTAAACACATAGACGACCTTGGCAGCCAACGCAAAGCTCAAAACGGGGTGAGGGAGGCCGTCAAAACACATTTCCGTAGTTGCGAAAGGAGCGTTCGAGAAACAACTTGGGGAGGAAGGAAGGCAACTGTTCAAAGTGGAAGGCTGCCCAATCCAGTCGAGGAGAGTCGCATCTCCCGTGCGCCTCATGATCTCCATCAAAAGTCGAGAGAATGCCTGATCGCCCTCTCCGTAGGTAACTGACATAGTGAATCCGAAGATTCCCATCAAGCAATACGCTTCGTCTTCCTTCTCCTTGGTCACTCTATTACGAGCCCATCTGAGCTTCATTCGAGGGTGCTCGACACTTGGAGAATAGAACTTGAGGTAACTTTTCTGTATCCCAGTTGCAGATTCTAACGCAACTAGGATCTCAGCAACGTCCTTGTGGTTGGATTCTGGGGAAAATGGAGTCCAGTCCTTCTTGTAGAGCCGAATGACCTTGGCGGCAAGCAGTTCCTGAAGAGTCCAGCCTCTCCGGAACCACTCGCTCAGTAAAAGTGCCTGACTGCTAGATTCCACGACATCAGAGAGGTAGATGATCGTCAGTGCCGACCCGCGATACCATGAGAACATGGATGAGATGGACTTCTGTACTTCGGCGCTGCTCCCTTGATCAATGCAGCATGTGTCGATCCATGCCCAGCGAAATTTACGACCGCGCGCCTTGTCACAGAGATTACGAACTTTGTCGAATCTCGGTGTAGTAGAAAGTGTATAGACCCCCTCTTGCGGGATATCTTTGAAGCCAGGTTCGTCGCCCTCCCACCTGTGAGAGAGCATGGTATATTCAAAGAAGGGTTTGACCACTTCAAAGATGTACTGCTTTTGTTCCAGAGCAGACTTGGTGGTTGTGAGGCGGAGAATCGAGCGAAATCTTTCTGACTCTTCGAATTTCGTGATGAGAGCGGAGCGAGCATAAATTTTTCCATCTTCGGTATTCAGCAACCGGAGGGGCATGTCACGAAGTATTGAATCTGCGACATCTTGAATCGCCTGCTTGACTTGCTGTTTGCTCACGCGTCCAGGTGGGAGGTCGTCTTCTCGGTCATCTCGTGCGGTATAAAAACTCTGCAATTCAATTTATATGTCAGATCATGTATCATGTACAAGGAACAAGGTTTACCTCTACAGAAGATTGTCCATCTGGGATCCGAAACATCTGTAGTGAACAAGGTTGTGGAAGTCAACAAAAGAAGCAGGCTAATAAGTTGTTACCCCGAGGAACTTGTACTAGACGGGAACAATTGATCATACCTTTCGTAAGTCAACGATGACTCCTTTCAGGTGCGCAGGAACGTGTGGCGGCTAGTAGCAGATGGACCTTGAACCCTTAATAGTGTGATATCACCTGATAAGTCGATACCCTGCAAAGTATTGGGTTAACAGACACACTATTTAGCACTCGCGTCTGATTCGTAGCCTCTGGATTAAGTATCTCCAATTGTACTTGTAGAAAACAGGCATGAGTAGATTCATCCTACAATATGATAATCGGGGCAAGGGCAATGACAAAGTTGTAGCACATTGCGTCAATGGACCCGGAGACTGCAGGGTCACTGCCGGGTGGGCCGGCCGTGGCTAGCGCTGACGGCCTATCTGCTGACGGCGCCATGTGCATCGAATGTTATCGGTTTTCACCACGTTGAGCAATATGATGCACAAAAATGCATAATAGCGTAGTACTCACCAGTATGAAATTGAAGGAAGTCAGAATCGCCGTGCCAGAGGGTGTGTCTTGAGCCACTCTCGGGCTGGGCAGGTTCAACGATACCATGGTGACGATTAGGTCACTTTGGCTCGGCCACCTCAGACCTGCCAAGCCGCCAAGCTTGAATATGATAAGAGTCCGTGACATGATACTGCTCAAATGATTGGGACGTACTCGAAAATAATACACTCACAAATATGAGCATCTGAATCTGTCCATAGAACTTTTCTGACCGTGTCTCGGGTGTTAAGGAAAGGATTTAAGGTGAACAGACTACGCTGCGACACTGGAGTTAACGTTGACAGCTCAGGCTGGAGCTAGTAACGTTGACGTACTATGTACTATGCAGCAATGACCATCCCCATCATCATGAACACGACTGCTTTCCGTAGTATCATAATCGATGCATAGTGCGTTTCGGTCGGTAACGATTATTCGCCTCAGTCTCTAAGTATAACTTGGATACGATAGTCACTACTACACGGAGAAAAATTAGGTATACATCAAGTCAACATCAAGTAGTACACATACAACCAAACTTCCAAGTTATTCAACTATCTTACTCAAACACTATCCGACATTTCCATCGAAAGCTGGCTATACCCCTCATCCACCCTCCGCCTCCTCACCAATCCCTTCACCGAATCCCACATATCGTCCAACACATTCATCCCGCTCTCGAACAATGTCTCCCCGGGAACTATCTCCCCGGGCATCACGCTCAACACCGGCCGTCGCCACCATCGCAGCATCAGGGAGCTCGTCACTACGCTCACCGACGAAAACGCCATTGCGGCACCTGCCAGCATCGGATGCATATACAGCCCAAAGGGTAAGAACACGCCCATCGCAAGCGGAATCCCAAGTACATTATATATACACGCCCAGACAAGATTTCGTCGGATCGTCGAGAAGATACTGCGCGAAAGGTATAGCGCAGCGACGACGTCGAGGAGATCAGAACGCATGAGAACGATGTCGGCAGCTTCTATAGCTACGGAGGTCCCTGAGGAGAGGGCGATACCGACTGTGGCAGCCACAAGGGCGGGTGAGTCATTGATGCCATCACCGACCTGAAAGATGCACAGGTCAGATTCAAGCTATCCGAACAAAGTAGAGACACGTGCCATTGCTACACCGCCATTCCCCTGGTTGATGAGATCGGTTACAAGGGACGCCTTGCCTTTGGGACTCATGTTGGCCCAGACACCATCGGACTTGATCCCCACTTGTTTGGCAACCGCCAGAGCTGTGACCATCCCGTCACCGGTCATCATGTTCACCTCAATGCCCATGCTCTGTAGTGCCTTGACCGCCTGCGCAGACGAGGGCTTGGGGGCGTCCGATAAAGAAACTGCAAGCAAAGGCAACGGAGCAGAAGATGCCCGGGACGAAGAAACGAAGATTACGGTGCGACCGAGTTTCGTCTCTTGAGCCTCGTAATTCGTCAAAATGGAAGGCAGTTGTACAACATTGGATTGCGCGATGAACCGTGCATTTCCGATGTATAAAGTATAATTGGAACCAGATGATGAGATGAGAGCTTTCACACCAGCGCCAGTCACGCTCTCGAAAGACTTGATGTCCAATGCTGGTGATTGGACATCAGTACCGGTAAGTAGACTCTTGCCATGAGCGGCGATAGCTTTCGCCAGAGGATGCTCAGACTTGCCCTCCGTCGCAGCGACCATTGCTATGATAGTTGCGCGCGTAGTAATGCCATCAGCACATTTGAACGACAGAGATCGAGAGCCGACGTTGTCATCAGGTAAGAGCTCGGAGGAATTGCGCGGGGGCATCCATGTCATACCCGCAACAGTGAGTTTCCCCTGCGTGACGGTGCCTGTTTTATCCAGCACAATCCGTTTGATCGACCGACTAGCTTCAAGTGCCCTGCCACCTTTGATAAAGATCTGGTTCTTTGCACCCACACCCGTGCCAACCATGATGGCAGTCGGCGTACTCAATCCCAGCGCGCACGGGCATGCGACCACCACCACTGATATGCACATCTGTAAACAAACTGCTAACCGGCTTGCGCCATGGCGGTGGAACATAGATGGGAGCGCATCCTCGCTAATGACATTTGAAATCACCATCCACGTAGCAAATGTGAATACTGCGAGCGAGATGACGGCGGGAACAAAGAAGCCTGCAACACGATCCGCAAATGTTTGAATTGGTGCTTTGGACGTCTGTGCCTCTTCGACGAGTTTGACGATTTGTGCAAGCGCCGTGTGTTTGCCCGCACGTGTCACGAGCATGTCGAAAGTCCCAAGGCCATTGACAGTGCCCCCAATGACGCTGTCTCCAGGTTGTTTCAACGCCGGAACCGGTTCACCAGTGACGGCGCTTTCATCCACGGTGGATGATCCTCGAATAACCGTCCCGTCAGCGGGCACTTTGTCTCCGGGAACAAGTTTGACAGTATCCCCCACTTGCACCAGCTCCGTAGGAATGCGTTTCTCTTGCGTACATGTCGGAGAATCCGTGTAGATTGTGGCCATGGTGGGTGTGAGGGCCATGAGATCTGTCAGAGCAGCGCTTGTCTTTCCCTTTGCGCGGTTCTCGAGATAACGCCCGAGGGATACGAACATGATGAGCATAGTACTTGTGTCGAAGAAAATGAAAGGCCGGTAGTCAGGCGTGGTGTTGAACGCCGCAAAGAGTAAGGCAAATAACGAATAAAAATAAGCCGCAGAGGTTCCGAGCATAACCAAGACGTCCATGGTCGCGGTACCATGTTTAAGTGCCTTGAACGCATTCCGATAGAACTTCTGACCGACCCAGAATTGTGCAGGAGTCGTAAGGCCAAGAAGAATAAGATCACCGAGATAGATACCGTTGAATAGATGAAAACCGACGAGGAGTCGAAGGAATGGTATGTGCATAGCGATCATACTGACGAAAAATACTGGGACGGCGAATGTGAGCGCCCATTTGAAGCGACTGGCCCACTCTTGGATCTCTTTGGTTCGAGCAAGTGATTGTTTTTGCGTCGCGTCCTCTTGATCTGACAATATTGCATCGAAACCCATATCTTCTATGCGTTCGACCATTTCCCGAGGGCCAACGAGACTTGGTTCAAATTCTATCTTGGCTGTCTCGGTGGTGAGTGAGACTGCAACACTAATCACCCCTGGCATCCCATGCAGTCCCGTTTCTACAGCCGATGTGCACGAACCACATGTCATGCCATATATGCGCAATGTGATCATATCAGACCGCGCTATTGGTATTTCGGTGGCATCAAATCCTATGTCTGAAATTTCCTGCCAATAATGATTAGCATGCGCCTGATGTGTCAGCGACGGACTAACATTGACAATCTTCTCTGGTGTCCATACTGAGGGATCATACTCGACCACACCTCTTTCGGCAAGAAGTGCAACTTTGATGGAATGTATGCCAGCTTGCGACCTGAGCATGCCTTCAATAGACTACATCCCATGAGTACATGTATAATGCATCGGTATGAGAGGAGCTTACCTCTACGCATGAACCACACGTCATGCCTTCTATTCGCAGTTCACATTTTCCAAAGCTACTATTGTCATCCACCTTGGTGACTGCCAGCGCCTCACCTTCCATGAGAGGAAGTTCGACATTTCCAAGAGCTACGGGCTTCGCCCTTTCCAAGACGCTTGATACAATGCCAGATATGATGGACATGCTTCAGATAGCCACGAGGGGCAAAATATTTATATATGCAACGCCTGGTGCACTACGCCTGGCTGGAAGTTCGGAACCTTCTCGGTTGGTGTACGTAGTCTTTTAGAGAAGAGAAAATGGGCGCCAGCACTACGATAGCGATGGAATTACTTATAGGCCAGCTTTGAGGCTAAATCAGTGAGCGAAGGAAGGCTTTGTAAAGGAGACCGAGCTGTAACCTGTTGCAGTATTCACCGCATTTTAGTATGACACACGTAGGTCATATGTCTTACGTCATCATTCTAACCGTTGGACTCGGAGCTCCTTACCTCTTTCTCACCTTCAAATCCAACGGTGCCTAGACGCCTGAACTAATAGGTTGTCCTCGATGAATCTTTCAAGTTTTGCACAATCGTGCAGTGAAGGTGACAACCACTGCGGGCTTAAGTTGGTGTTGAAAGATCCCATCTGCATTGCTTCGAAGAGCTGTGGCCCTCTTCCTCACCATTTTAATTGATATCGGGCACTGTCGATGCTACATCAACAGTTTAAATCGTCGTTCAAGCATCGTTTTATGATCCCTATTTAGTATGGTCTCGGACGAGCTGTATTTAGCATGTAACTAGACCAAAAATGTGTGCAACGGAGAACAAATGCAACAAGCGAGGAAGCGAGGAAATGATTGTCACTATCAGCGTGAAATCAGTCCGGATTATCATTGATTAGATGCGGGCAGTGGGTATGGTACAAATCTACTACTAATGCTAAACTCGTTTGCGAACCTCCTGCTGTACAGCCGCGAACCTTTCACGCAAAGTATCTGAAGGATGAATAGTTGTAGTAATGTAGTTCATGATCTCGTGGTAAGCATCATCAAAAATAGAGGAATTTACAGAGAAATCAACGAAATGACCAGTACGATGGGCATATAGCACGCAGCGGATTGTTGCGCCACATGCTGCGAACAAACGATCGAGTGGGCCCTTTACAATGTCCGATAATCCGTCTTTCAAAAGGTCAATGACCATGTTGATGAGAACTTCGTTCTCCAGTAATCGTCGAACCTCCGTGTCACCCATGCTCTGTGGCCGAGTGAGCGACACCCTACTGAATTGACGGAGACTGTCACCTCTTCAATATGGTGAAGGTATCTCGAATCCTCTAGTAGAACACTGACTCTATCTCGCCCATGCGCTGACTCATCCTGTTCCGAAAACAGTGGCAGGCGCAGACCATAGCCAACTGGAACTGTTTTCATCGCGTAAGCTTTGAACCCGTGTCGCATATCTGCTATTGCGGCCACCATAAAATTGTTGATACCCTTGATATCCTCAATTTCCGCTATGACCTCAGTATCAGTACATTTGAGATTCGGAAAGCAATGAAACACACCTTGACCAAATTGTTCAATTTTCGTGGCTTGCAACGCATTGCGTATCATCTTATCGCGAAGCTCATCATTCGGGGCACCATCTGTTTCCGCATCCACGTTCAGTAGAAGTGCCCGAAGCTTACTCTTTGCGGTTTCTTTCAACTTTCGGGCTGATTTCGTCGAGAGCTTTATGCGAGTCGAAATGGGCGGGTCCACAATTGACCCAGACCCCTCGGGCAAATCAGGTGCAGCGGCAGGATCAGCTGACAGTAGCTCTGGCGTGGGAGGAAGTCTCGCATTACGTCGTCGTCTCCCACTGTCGGAGACATGTTTTTGAGTCTGTATATCATAGGTAAACACTCAAAAACGAACACTCAAATATAACTTACTCGAATAACACCCTGGGTTCTCTCCCCACGGATGTTCTCTCCCAAGTGAAGGGGGGCCAGAGCGACAAGCCGCGCGGCCCCCCATGGGGCCAAAGATCCATTTCCGACCAAATCTGGTTGTGATGGCTGCCTTGACGATGGTTCGTGGAGGAGGGCAAATGCGCCAGCATATGCATCGGCTAGTGCTCTATCCTCGTCCCGATGGTGCATGGGCGGGGGTTGCTGATGGTGCATGGGTGGGGGTTGCTGATGGTGCATGGGCGGGGGTTGCTGATGGTGCATGAGTGGGTTTTGCTGATGGTGCATGGGCGGGGGTTGCTGATGGTGCATGACCAGGGGGTGCTGATGGTGCATGGCCGGGGGTTGCTGATGGTGCATGAGCGGAGCTTGGTGTTGAGGCTGGGAATATTGCGGCGGTGGGGGTTGATGGTAATGGGGCTCAAGTTGTGCATGATGCTGCTGTGAGATGGGCATCTGAATGCGATGTTCTGCGGGTGTCGTTGCGCGATCACCAGGTAAGGCGAGTTGATTGGCGACCGACTGGCCACTGGGATTAAGGTCCGAGTGAATCCCTGGCTGAAAACCCTTCTATAGATTGATCAGTAAGCATCGGCGACAGGATTGCAATTCCAACACGTACCCTTGCAGCGTTGGGCTTTCGCCTACCAGTAGATCTTGCTGATGGCGGAGGGGGGTCCATTGATGTCGTGGTGCTAGTCAAGTGTTGCTTACAGTTAGTTAGTCACAACTTGTCAGCGAGCGCAAACTTTATCATATCATCGATCGATGAAATACAACTCCTACTATTCAATCCGATATAGTACAGTGTACAGATGGGAAATTTCATGAATAGAATGGTACCAAGAAAGGATTATCGATGGCTGCGTCTGACGGCACTTGTGAGCAATGATCAATCTGAGAAGGTAAGCTTGTGAGTTATTTGTATAATCTAGGGAGATAGAGCTTTCTACCTTCCAATTCGGCGTCAGAATAATTGGAATCGTCGGATCGTTCCCCATTGTCAGCCTCCTCCTCATCTTGCTCATACTCCGTGTCACTACTGTTTGGAAGCCTGTGAGAGACATATTTTGTTGCGAGTGGTGATACAGATGAAATTTGATAGAGCTGCTCATCAGCCGTAGCTAGGGAATCGAGCTCAGAATCGTGCGATTCCTCCAGGTATTCAGCATCCTGCTGTAGAGCCGGAAGATCTCGTCCCACTAAGAGCTTCTCGAAGAGGCGATAATCCGACTCTGCCATTTTCAGTCGCTTCTTCTCCTTCCGCTCAAATGCTTTGAGGAGTAGCTTGTTGTATTCTACCTCTTGGATCTCCCAACCGAGTTGCTTGACCTTGTGACGGTGGTTTTCTCGCGCAGCATGTTTGGCGTGTGCTGCCAACGTTATCGTGTCACTTGACAAAGACGAGAGACCACGCAAGAAAATGTCCCGCCCCTGCAATAGTTGAATAAAAATCATCAGTTCCTGAAAACAAGGGCCTACTTACCTTTATGGCATCAGTAAGTTTGATGTCAGGGGTTCCTCGGATTCCCTTCAGGGCAAAGCGCAGCTCCAGTTGGGTACTAGGAGCACCACGATGCAGGTATGGGTGACTCCTGCTTGCAGGTCGCATTCCACGCCGGGAACTGCGAGTGCTGCCAATAAGTGAATTGGCATCAGAATGGGTTGAAACCGGAGAGGAGGTCTCTGAGCGCAGGGAGGGGGGCTCGAGGGACGTGAGACCTGTGGTCAAAGTTATGACCTTCCCTTCAGTTATTTTGGAAGGGTCAGGAGTTTGGAGGGAGTCCACTCGAGTTCGACCACTGGAACCCGATGTTGTAGACGCAGACGATGAAAGAACGTCATTGAAAGAATCTGGAGTCATAGAAATATAATCTGTTATCTCTGCAGTGGTGAGTGTAGTACAGCAAAAATACAAGCTGGCGGAGTTTGAAGAACTTGGTGAATTTCCTCACTCCAAACGCACCGCAATGGGCTCGGAACTTGAGGGGTGCACTGCAACAGGTCTGGAAATATGCAATTGTCACAGGTGAGTTGTATCAAATGGTACAGCAGTAACTGACCAACTTTTTCAGTGGTCCAACATCTACAAAATGCCCGAATTGCGGACTCGAATTTGCATCAAATCTTGCTGTTGTAGATCATCTCAATGATCAGACGCATTCTTGTTGGAACAGAGAGTCCACTTACCGCTTGCCAATCCCTCCAGCTTTCCAATGGGGAGACAACAACCGAGAAGAAGTCACTGGCCAGTACCATCCAAAGTCAGGCTACATTTTTGGACGGGGACGAAATATCTTGCAGGAAATGGAGGATCACGACTTAGATCAAAAGCGCCGCAGAGCAATAAATCCATCATACCCTTTTGTTGATCAGGCTGAATGGCAGCTAGCAGAGTTCCTCGTTCAACGGCTGACACAAACCGATATTAACAAATTTCTGAAACTAGACTGGGTGAGTAGCATTATCTGTTTCTGCAGTTTTGACTGTACTAACTCTGAGCTTCGCACAAGTTCAAAAATAGACCCAGGCCATCCTTCAAGAGCGCAGATCAACTATTTGGCTGGATTGATGCGCTACCAAGCGGCCCAGAGTGGCAATCAACGACACTCGAGTTTACCAACTACACAACTGCAAGGCCAATCGAGCTAATCTGGCGTGACGGTCTCGAAGTCGTCAAAGATCTCTTTGCAAACCCGATCTTTTCCAATCATATGATGTATGATCCTCACATTGTTACCACTGGCTCAGAACGCGAATATGGCGAGTTTTTTACAGCTAACATGGCTTTCGATATTCAGGTAGGGCTCCTTAACAGCGGTAAAGTGGTATTGCTCAGTGTTCTATGCCAGAACAACCTTCCAGAAGGTGCCACTATGGTACCAATCATCCTCGCATCTGACAAGACGCCCGTAACCAGGATGTCGGGAGGATTAGAAATGCACCCGGTGTTCCTTACGATTGCCAATATTCAATCTGAAGTTCGTATGAAGGCCACCGCTCATGCATGGCGCTGTGTTGCATTTATCCCGATTCCGAAGTTTGATGTTCACGCGGATTTCCAAACACTCCTCCATGCTCGCCTGTTCCACAAGTGCATGGACATGATATTTGCCAAATGCAAGGTGGCTGCGAGGGTCGGTGAATACATGTCGGACTCCATGGGTTATATCCGGCATTGCTTCACTCCGCTCGTCGCATATACAGCTGATCTCCCTGAGGCACAGCTCATCGCTTGTGTCTCAAAAAATGCGTCACCACTTACGATGGCAACCCAAAGCGACTTTGGTAGTGCTCAACTTTTCCCCCGTCGAACAGGCGACCATACGCTCAAGCTCATCTACGACCTATGCAAACGTGTTGATCCATGGAATGTACCACTCTTCCAACGCGAAGCTAAAGCATTGCTGCTTAGCGGCGTTCATCAGCCATATTGGAGAGATTGGCCGCATGCAGATCCAAGTCATTTTTTGCCCGGCGAACTGCTTCACACCTGTCACAAATATTTTGGTGACCATCCTTTAAAGTGGTGCAAGGAAGTTGTCGGGGAGGATGAACTTGATGCTCGCTACAAGGCTCATCATAAATGAGTCGGAACACGTCATTTTGGGTCTGGTGTCTCCCACATCAACCAGATGACGTGCCGGGAGCATCGTGACATTGAACGGACCATTGTCGCCACAGTCGCTGGTGCAGCAAACACAACCCCTGATTTCGTCCATGCCATTCGTTTCCTCACCGAATTCATTTACCAGGCACAGAGCCCCGTGCACACTGACTCGTCCATTGATGCTATGGTGCACTCCCTCCACATGTTTCATACGCTGAAGCAAGCGATACTCGATGCCGGTGCTCGGAGAGGGAAGAGTGGAACGATCGATAACTTCCTCATCCCCAAAATGGAGTTGTTTCACAGCTTTGCGGGGTCCATCAGAGATCTCGGAGGTTTGATACAGTACTCAGCGGATGTTAGTGAGCGACTCCTGATCACACACTGCAAATTTCCATTCGAAAGGACTAGTCGGCAAGCCAGGAATTTTACCTTACAGGTCGTCCAAATTCTCAATCGTGACGAAACCATGCGACGCTTCAATCTTTATACCCTTTTGCATTCGCATGGTACACCGCTCGTGAATGCCATTGCAATCGAAGACAATATCGTCACGGAGACAGATCCTACTTTGGCCTGGATAGCGCGTGTGCTTCCCGGCGAGCAGAATCGCTTCCATGGCCCGCGACCTGTCCGCAACCATTTTTTGAAGGGAATACTTTCTGTTGAAGCTAATGCCGCATTTCATGTCACCATCTCTCCCGATCGAAAGTCACTTTCTATCACTGATCTGCAATCTATCTACTCTCTCCCAAATTTCGGCGCAGTGCTCATGGAATATATCAATGACTCGTCCCAAAACACCCCAACAACAGCCTGGACGTGTGCGCGAGATTCAGTCAGGACATGGAACAAGTTTCGTTTACAGCTACACTCTACCTTCCAGTCGCGAGTTGTGATGCCGAGTCAAATCGTCCAAGCGTTTCCACCATCAGAGACCTTCCCTATGGGCAATTGCGATGCAGTTCTCGTGCAATTGCCTGGCAATGATGGTAAGTATTTAACTGCTGGCGTCATCCATGTGCTTACAAGCCTGTGCAGATACATACATTGCGCAAGTGCGTTGTGTTTTTCAAGCTATTGCCAGGAAAGGTCAAACCCTGCCCCACTATCTTAAAGACTCGCCCCTTCTATACGTTCAGTACTTTCAGATCACAGCAACACCTACTGAGGATGCAAGCGCTGGCATGTACCGAGTGAAACGCATCTACCATCAGGATGGAACAGGTCGGATCTTCCGACCTGGCAGCATCATTCCGCTGACAGCCGTTACCTGTGCTGTTGAGCTGATCCCTATGTATGGTTCGAAGATGGATCGCATGATAAATGCTACGAACGCAATGGAGATCTGTGATGAATACTACTTGAATACATTTTCGGACAAGGAAGTTTTCAATACAATGCACAGTGGTTTGATGTAGATTTGCATTTGCCTACAATACAATTGATTATCTGCGTTCTAATCGTGTTGATAAGTAAGATAGCACAATCTAGCCTGATCGCATTCATTTCCGTAGAACATAATCATCGTCTGAGCTCTCCACCAATCAGACGAGTGCGCTACTGAAGTCGTAAGTATTCGTAAGTGTTCGTAACGCGCTTAAGCTAAGCGTTCATTTCAGCGGTTTTACTGATGTAGGATACTCAGCACCCCGTTTTCGGTTCAAGTTTCGTGGGATCCTTTCAGCGGCGCTGTCAATGTATTCGCTAGCGATGTCGGGTATGTAAGTGGATCTACGATAATGGCCCATTTTCTCGCTGGCAAGTTCATGCACATCCTGCTCAGTCCGAAAGTTCTCCATTAGTACTTCCTGTTTCGTGTTCTCTTCAACACCAGTACTGCCGCTTTTCCATAGATTATTGTGGTTCGCCTGGTGCCAGTTATGATTCAATAGTATGTGGGATCTTTCATTTCTAACGCACAAAATGTATCTATCTAACTTTGCAGAGCTGACACTGACTCCTACTCTGTTCTTCATCTGACTTAATGGGTTACAGTTTGCCACCGATTGATAGTCATGATGGTGCCTGTGGTAATATGGTACAATCTTTGTATTATCCGGATCCGGATCCGCGAGAGCTAGAAGTCGACCGAGTATTTCATCTTCCCAGTACTTCCCAGTCTCCCAGATCAGCAGGTTCAATTTGGACGAAAGACGGATCGAAAGAAGCCGAGAATCTCCGAGCTTTATACGGCACAACCACAAAAACACCCGACGTACGACACACAAAGTATATCCGCAATTATCACTTCGCTATGACTGTATAACTTGACTCCCATCGGAAGCAGCAACACGTTTCAGGAGAAGTTGTTGGTAGTTCTCCCATGTAGTAATGAGCTACGACAGTATTGAGGTCTCCATTTAAGGCGTCATATTACAGCACATACCTCTTTCTGTCTGGATACCATCCCGTCAAGGAAAGATTGCAAAGATATCTTGAAATCATCCACGCGCTCCTGCTCAAATCTTGCCATTTCAGATTTGATCAGCTTTGAGCACTGATCAAATTCGTGCTTGGCATCCAGAGCTCGACGTTCAGCCTGACCAACCGTAAGAATGTGCAAGACAAAAAAATGAAACGATCACACCTCTGATATTTGGCTAACGGTGTGGCTCATCCGATCCGTGGGGAGACGACCTTGAGCTCGAAGTCGTTCATGATTTTGTTTGACACGGCGGACGTCAGAATCAGCATTTTGCCATGCAGTGTACGTTCGCGTGCGAGAGTTAAAGGCCATCTGGAAAACAGAGTCAGGTGGAACAACGTATGAAGGACACCGAGTGACCTACACGAACAGAGTTGATCAACCTTGAATATTCGTCCGCTCCAGACCAATTAATTAGTGCTAGAAAGGTAAAACGGTAGACTTACCGGTAGCTAAAAGAGTCATTATGTCCTGTTGCGACTGAATGGTTTGAACCTCCTCAGCCTTCCGCTGGACGTCAGCCATGGCAGCCAAGAATTGCTCCAGTTGCTTTCCGATGTCTGAGAGTGACAGATCAGTGATCGCAGTGGCGAACTCCCCAGTTGCAGCGGCCAATTCTGCAAGGCAATCAAACAATGTACCGGCAACATATAGAAAGACAAAGACACACCGGCTCGTTGCTTCGCAACGATTTCTATCGACTTTACTAAACCACGCAGCTGTGATTCGAGACCATCCAGATATGCACGTTGTCTATCAAACCACTGCAGGAATGCGAAGTCAACATGCGCCGTGATAAACAGGCTTCGTGACGAACCTCATCAGTTTCATGAAACCGCGGACCCGTCAAGGTTTGGCCGATAGATGCCATGAGTCCTCCTCTTTCGTGCGAAAGCTCGGCTTTCCTGTGTTTGATCTGTATATCGCTCAAGCCAAGGAAACTTAAGCAGCAGGATCGTATAACGCACGTCTAAGGAGAAAGTGTCACTTTCGAGGAAAAGCTTGAGGTCAGGGTCCTTGGCCAGCACTGGGTGATTGACAATCTTTTGGATACATTTCTCGAGAGCCAGTCGTCGCTGTTGTACAAATGTCTCATCGAAACGCCCAAACGGACTTTTCTCTGGTACAGGAGGGACAATGACACCCGGATTGTTCGCTGAAAGGGTCTCGTATAGCCATAGGAAGTCTGAATACCGACGTAGCACAGAAAATGTCGACTTCTGGAAAAGCGGAGAGGTTGTCTAGGAAGCTTCTTGAGTGATATTATCAGCAGCACCAAACAAAAGCTCACTCGTGTATGCACGGTATACATAGTGAACGCCCGAATGGGATCACCCACACGCTGAGGATCATCGACCGAAATGACGAAGATAGGAGCTGATGAATCGCTTCTGCTCCCAGTAGAAGCGGGTGAAGTTGCTAACTGCTGCGCAATAGATACAGCAGTTCATAATCCATTGTGCAGACACCCACCTGTGGAGAGTTAATCCTGTCTATGCCCTTGAATTTAGCCGATTGGCCAATCGGCTTGTCATCATCGTCTTCCTCATCGGCTGTAGTATTTGCGACAGGCAAATGAACAGGTGGCAATGGATCATTCGTTCCCCAGTCAGACTGCCAACCTCGATGAGATTCCGCTTCTAATGCAACGCTTGCAAAGGTTTGATCGACTACTGGAGAGAAACTCCGCTCCAGTGGCGAGATAACAGCACGCTCTGGGCTGTCAAAACGTGTGATAATTTTGGTAGAAGGAATAGTTGTAGTAAGGGATGGGGACGGCTCCTGGTGAGGAGGTGTTACTGCCCCGACTGGCTCCTCATCATGAGGAATGGGCGATTCTGATGTAGGTTCGGAGACGGAAGTTGTTGCATGCTCTTCCGTGCTAGATGCATATGTGCTGAAGCCAGGTGTACGTGGGGAAGCAACGTCTGTCGGCGCTGTACTGTGTTCATCATCATGGTCCTCAGCAGTCACTGCAGCCGCATCTAGTGGGTCAGCTGCAATCAGGCTGTTCTGGTCGCTGTGCCCGTGGTCGCCTGTTACATATGACGCAGTCGTGGGCGTTGCGCTAGTACTGCGTACTGGTTCATCCTCGAAGCCGGTCTTGTAATAGTCGATATCATGATGCGTTGGCCCTGGCTCAGCATGGGAGAAGCTAGACCATGGGTCTGGCGAAGAAGAACGTTTAGCGAATGGGTCTTCAAATGGATTTTCTTCAAGGACGTTCCGAGAGGGTGCGAGAAGATCATCAAAACTGTCCATGGAATGAAATGTGAAGGACTGAATATGGGTGGTGGGCCTTGGAGTTTGAGCACATATACTTAGTAGTTGATCAGATCGATCAAGTTTTAGCGCGCTAAAACAAGTACCCAAGCATGTAATCACACAAAGTCTACATACAGTGACAAGATATATCCACATCATAAGTGTCCTACTCATATGGCATCTCCTCAACAGCATTCCCAAGAGATACCCAATCAGCAAGCACACTACTGACGAAAGCTTGCTCATCATGAGCCAGATTCTGCACTAACTTGCTGAGCAAAGCATTCTCCTTATTATGCAGCACCACACGAAGCTCATGCCACATCCTAGAGAGCGTTAACAACCACAAAAAGTGGCAGATGGCAGCGTAAAACACTCACGAAGCACGAATAAACACTCTTCGGTTCAAGAGTGTAGCGATCGTCGCTTGGTCTTTCTCTATCAAACCAATAATTCGATCGGCGTCGTCCTGCCAGCCGTCCTTCAAAGCAGCCTTTATACCTTCGAGTTTCATCGAATTCGAATCAACTCGTTTCTTCAGCCGGTCGACATTATCGACAGAGAGACGGTCACGGCGGATGAACAGATCTCGCATCGCAATATACAGATCCCTTTGACTCTGCACCATTGAAAATAAACGCATCAACAACCAGCTGGCGATTCGCTTACCTTCAGCGCTTCCAACGTTGAGTAGAGCAATGAATTCGTCTGAAGTGAAGTGTTCAATAAGCAGAACTAGATAGAGCAATACACTGACTCGTTGTTCCAGCAAATCAGATTGCCGTTGTGTATGGGAAGCAACGTGTGCAATCCCTTGTCGCACGCCATCACACAATTCGCATTCATCCCCCCTCCAACACCGTTCGTTCACTTCAACAACGGCCCTCAGCGCATTGGTCAGTCGCGCCAAGTCTGCCTGATCATCCGATTCAAGGTCGTCGGAAGGTACAGTGCGCGAGGACAACGTTGACAAAGAAGCGGCCAACGACGTTGTTGACGAAGCAGGTCCGGGTATATGATCATGGTCATGGTCATCCAAAGGAGGAGGATGGGGGGAGAGGAAAGGGAAAGTGAAGTGAGCCCGTAAATAGGTGCGCCTGAGACTTGGAGGGATCCGTACCGCAGCTGAATCGCGTCTCTTTATTATGCGTTCTGCCAACACGCATATTCTCTGCCACTGCTCTATCAATGGACCGATCTTGCCCCGCACGAAACTTCAAAACTCTTCAGTGGACGGTTGAGATAATGGATATGTCGCACATACGCCAGTTTGTCTTCGAGGTCACTTGGGACGGTGATTTCTTCTATCCTATCAACATGTTTGCTAACGGATTCTTCTTCTAGAGATACGGCGGTGTGCTTGCGCCAGTTCTCGAAGGATGGTTCCGAGAGGAACGTCGCAAGGAGACCGTCCTCCTTGATCACTGGATGGTTTCTGAACAACCTTCAATCAAGTATACCAGATGAGAGTGGTAGTCACATACATCACAGCGTTCAGAAACCTCGCAAGACCTTTCCTGTTACAAACATTTCAGATGTCCTGACTAACAAGCACCATGTTTCCACACCTTCGTTGCTCAATAAACGCAGCGTCGGCTTCGATACACATGAGTCAAACTAAAGATAACAAAACACAGAGCTTACGCTGCACACGCTTGGGCGGAAGGGCAGGTAGCAGACGGAAAGGGTATCGCCGCACCAAGCAGTCCCATAAAAACGCAAACTCTGAATACCGACGATGAACAGGTGCGCCGTGCTAGGCACCATATAATATGAGTGTGTTGGGAATGGATAGATGAGTGTCCTCTCACTTCAGTGTTAATCTCGTACACCGTATACCGATTCAGGATGAATCCCTGCTGCCCTTGGATAGTCACATCCACAGTTTCTTGTGTTTTCCACCACTCCCTCGGCAACCCCGACCCCGCCAAACTTGATGCAGCTCCGCCATTGATCGTCGTTGCACTGCGAGGGGCAGCAAAGTCAGACCCTCCCCCATTGCTCCCAAATCGTGATACGCTCCACGGGTCCAGAGTGGCCTGCCTGTAGGTTGGGTAGGGAGAAGAGAGAGCCGAGGTGCTCGGTTGTAAGGTATCGAGGTGGAGAAATGGTTCGGGTAGACTGTTTTCTGCAGCACGGGCAGCGACTTGTTCCACGCTGGTGTCTACCCGAGCCCACTTATATATTAGTGTAACTTATGGTTGAATAAACGAATCTCGCACCTTTGCCAGACTGAGCAAGGGCTAATAATGCAAGAGCCACGAAGAATTCTAGCTTGGACACCCTTGGTCGAGAGCTTACGAGGTTCACGATCTGATATAGGATGAGCACCATTTGTCCCACCGCTAACTGCGTCACTCACTTTTTCTACCGTCGTTGCAGGCAATCCAGACGTTGACAAAACGCGAGACAGTGCATTTACGGATGTCTCTCCAGAGTTTGTTGTATCTACGACGGCAAATGCCCTGTAATATGAATCTGGGACAGTCGCTTCCGCTGTCCAACCATCACTAGTCAGACGCAGCCAGAAAATTTGTTTCAATTCGCACCTAATACAGAGCTAAGAGCAGACGTCACACTCGGTATGGGTTGCGGGGAAGGTGATGGCGCAGCGCTCCACGGATCGTCATAAATCGAGGCAGCCAGCGGGTTCTCGTCGACGAAACTACCTCCAAGACCGTTGACAGGCGCGGAAGCATACCGCTGGGCTGGCCGCGGCGCGTTGAACATCTTGGCTGCGGCAAATTGAAGGCGATCGTAATGCGGACTCAACAGTTCAGTGTAGAAATGAATGAACTAAGAATCTCAAGCGGTCAAGGTCACCAAACAAGGCTGCCGCATGTTTGCAGCACCGATATCTATCAACTGCTGGGCCAATAATCTTGTAATGATTGGAATTTCCAACCTGTCCAGGCGGAAGCTAACTATGATCCACGCACGTACTACATCTAACGTATTCACAAGCAACTCGCCAGCACAGGCGGCATCCCCGAGCAGTCAGAGGACAAAATTTAAAAGCTGTCGACTAACGCCTTATCTCCTTTAGTCCGCAAATTTCGCATGATTGGCCTAACATAAGTGACAAGCGGTACAAGCCATAGAGCAATCGAATGTCCAAATGGATTATCATCTACTATGTACAAAATCCCGTCGTGCGTGTCACGCCATTCAATCATCCCTAGCTCTGTCTCACGATACTTCAGCGGTCTCCTTTGCTGCGAAGTGTAACGTCCACGATGACAACAAGCGCTTCGCGTTGACAGCCTCTCCATCAAGCCTGAATGGCATATCAGTGACGCTCGGTTGCAAGAACTCAAATCACCACTTACCCAGGCGTACCATATGTTAATGGTGCCATGTATACGAACATCAAAAACAAGATGAATGTGAATACGCCCACCACCACAGGCCCTTTCATACCAAGATCAGCGTACTCCGATTTGCGCAATTTCGTCCAACGTCCAACGATACTAATCGGGTAATTGACCGTATCCGAAAGTATGAAGCTAAGAACAGAGCCGGCAAGGAGTGCAGAAGCAAGATGCGATGGGAGGTAGTGGTGGATGAAAAGCTGTCGACTCATAAGGAAGAAGGGAAGGTAGTGTATGGCCCAGATCAGAAGGAAGAATCCGGCGGAGTTCCATAGGCGGCCACGGGCAGCTAAACCAAAAGTCAATTCACTATTCCCTTAGAACAAGTGTCACCTACCCTCAGGAATGGGTTCAATGCCACGACGACGGGCAAGTAGGTCAGCACCCATGATACCAACATAGATGGACAGTGCGATGACGCACGTCCACCAGCCAACGATGTTACCAATAAGATAAATCTGTTTTTGAGCGTCGTTTTCTGTCCAGAAACTGATCCCGCTGATGAGGAAAGGCCAGTTGATCGGACCGCTAGCATAGGGGTGTGATGAAGTGAGTCCCGCATTGTGCTGGAGCATCAACAACTGCAGCTCGGCAAACTTCCTGAAGAAGCTGATTTTCTTAGGTTCCTTCGGAACTTGTTCGCCAGAAAGACCTTCGGGACCTAATTAAAGGGTCAATATAACCAAATACACCTCGTGAAAAATCTACTCACTCTCAGTCGAGATTACCTGGTCGACGAACCAAGTAGCGCTCTTCTCTGTGGGGTTCTTGTTACCATTGATCTCTTGTTGCTTGAAAGCCCATTCTGGCAACTGTTTAGAATGGGTCCACATGGACACCCTGGTGGGACCATGAACAAGCTTGAAGTAGCTCGATTTGCTCTTCCATGGATCCTCAGAGTCGGCGTCAATAATGTTCAAGTAGAACAAGGTATCATTGTGTCGTGAGTGATCATCCTTGGGCCATGTAGTGAATTCCTGGTTTGTTGGCATAAGCGGGGAAGCAACGTCGTGCGTAAGTAAGAGTGTTTGGGTGCTGATGTGCAAAAGTTGGATGACATCTTCGTGGCGGACAACGCGACCGCGGCCGGCCTCAGGAAGGGCTTTTGTGGGGATGATCTGCCAGTGGTTATTGATATCATCATGTCCATAACCGGTGACCTGTTGTCCTTGACTACTGATGCGACCATCGTCGTACTGCAAAGGGTAGTGGTCGGGATGCGAGTGCAAGTAAACCTTTGTATCCTTGTGTTTCATAGTGACAACGTCGAAGTAACGAAGCTCTGCAAATATTACATTTAGTTGGAAGGAAAACTCGATGCAGGTTGCCCCATGCCTTGGCTATTCATCAACAGTTCATTGCCAATGAGAGTCTCCTGGAATGCGGGGGTCATGAAAGAGTCGCCAGTTCCGGAACGCGTAAGAACGGCGAAATGCACGTAGAAGAATGATAGGTAGATGATGAAGGGGACGACGATCAGGCCTACTGCTCTTGCCATGAAGTGCTTCCAGAAATGTTCCTTGAGATAGCGGTAAGGGACATGCACAAGTCAACAGGGAGATGGAGCCTACCATTGTAAAACCCTTCTTATGGTCCAATATATCCCACAGGTCAACTAAAACAGCGATGCCAATGGTGGCTACAGTCAGGATACCGTTTACTTTCGCGCCCCAGGTGCAAGCCATGAAAAAGCCAGTAGCGATCAACCAGCTCCACCATTCAACAGTGAATTCCCTAGCATAGAGAATGTGTCACATCACGATATCTCAGAAAACAATTATAGCGCACCAGTAACGGAGTTTGCGGAATCGAACATATGAATAGATTGTAAGTGACATGAAGAAGACCAATGTCGCGTCCAAGAGAATTAACCGTGACTGCGCAATGTGAGCGTTGTCTGTGGAGACGTGTTAGACACAAGCAGTAGGTTCACCAAGCTTGAGCTTACCAAAGAGAATGATACAGGCGGAAAAGGCAGCGATGATAGTAGAATAGCCAGTTTCCTTCATTATCGCGTAAACCACGGGGACCGTAAGACTTCCAAGAATCGCGGGTAAAGCACGCATGCCAACATATGGTACATGATTGTCGGTATAGCTATCCCCGATGTTCTCGAATGTGAAGTGACCGTCAAACCCGACGAACCAGCCAGTGAGTCCGAATAATAGTTTCGCGAAAGGGGGGTGCACGTCGAAATAATACTCGCGAGTGATATAAAAGGAGGCAAACTTTCCGAAGTGCACCTCATCAAAGCTATGTGCGTATCAGGTTAGGGACCAGAGCCAGGAATTATAACTTGGTACTTACACAACTTGGTCTGGTTGATTTATTTTGTAAAAACGAAGCGCAAATGCTATCGCCGTCAACACACCCACCATCGCAGCACTTGCTTGTGGAGTATCTAAAACCCGTTCAAATGCACTGCGGGAGTTCTGTATAACGAGAAAGAGTTGGACATTGAAGACTGGAACAGTGAGTAACATACGGGACTTTGATATATAGCGTGTACGTGGTCATCATCATCTTGGTCGTAGTTGCCAGCGGTTGAAGCAGGGGTAACTTTTATTCTCTGACGTGGTCTTGAAGGACTCGCCATCGCGGTGGAAGGTTGAAACGTTGATACGGACGTCTTGATTGTCAACGTTAACTTATAGAGAGTCTGAAGTTGTTGTTGGCAGCATAGCCACAGTTGTCACGTGTACTTCGTACTATGGACATGGCCCCTGATTTCCACGCATGGCTCGATGGATTTGTAGCCGTATCTACGGACATTTAACTTTTTCAGATTTCATTGATTTCCGTCAATCTCCGTGCGAGGGCGTCTGTGCGATTTTCACCCGGAGTGATTAGCAGGCTCATCCCAGCACACTCCGTACTCGAGGTCTTCTTAATGATGTATACCACTAGAATTAATGCTGCAATACATAGTATTTCATGGGCTAGACACATTCGGAGATTCCGTTGCTAACACTTTTATTCGACAACAGCATTACATAATAACCACCAGTCTCGTCGGTTTCCTATCCAACATGACCTGCACAATTTGTCAACTGCATTCGATGGTGTGGGTCAAGTTTCGCTTACAAGTTTGACCACTCGTTTATGCTCGCTGGGAGCGCCCAACCAGTTCCAAAAGCAAATCCTCTATGCGTTTCTGCCTCTCCTCCATCCGCTTCATACGCTCGAACCATCGAATCATACTACTGTCCTCACAGCTGTTTTCCTCCGCTTCTTCAGCAGTTTCAGGTTGTGTGCTCAGCTGCGGGCTGGCAGAGAGCGATCCTGGATCATCGAAGATTTCGGGATGCGTATTAATCACAGGCCGAGGAGGTCTGCGCTGAGCGATAGGAATCGGATCAGGACGCCTCACAGGTTGCATTGACGCCAGCCTGCGACTGGCTGGGCCATAGCTAATGAGGGGTACTGGAGTAGACTGCGGAGTTTCCTCCTTTGGGTCATCATCGACATTGTCCATTATTAAAGGTTGGAAGACCTGTGCAAGTGGACTGATGCTTTGCATTATATCGGCGCGACTTATTTGTGAGCTGACACGTCGACGAAGAACAGAGGCATCAGATGACTGGGATGCCTGGTATGACAGAGGTCCGAGCTGTTGTGGTAACGGCGGCCGTGCGTGTGTTGATGTCATTTCGGGTTGTGATCGAGGTGGAGGTTGTAGTTGGGATTGCAACTCTTTGAGAGAGCGAGTAGGACGAAGTGAAGTCTGGTGGTCTGACTTTCGAGGTGGACGCCGTTGAGCCATAGCGCCTGTTGGAGGAAGTTCGCCGTAATCCCGGGTATCCAATGCACTATTGTCCATTTCTTCTTCCACTTCAAAGATCTGAAAAAAAGCATTGAATAAGCCCCACGTGGCCGAGGAACGTTCACTCACGATGTCAATAGTGCTCGCTGAACCCACCAGTCCCTCGAAGAACGCTGCAATCACGTTTAGGATTGAAAACGATGTAAATAATTAACGGAACTTACACATCCGCTTCAACTGACGTGGCAACACCTTCTCCGCCACAGAGGTGATAGTCTCATAGAACCCATTCGAGCCAGTCTTCTTGGATTGGCCTCAATAGATTGTCAATAAAGAGAATGGATAACAGCGGCTCTAATCGCTCACGTTCGTACAAAGCAATGATGAGCAAGATCGGGAAATTCGTGGCTCTGAATCAAGCCTTCAATGGAAGGTGTAGAACGGTAGATAATCACAAACCTGATCATGAAGACGTTGACCTAGATCCCATTCAAATCGCTAATTCCAATACATGGGCTACGGGACTTACCTTGTGAAACCACCTCGGTGACAGTACATAGCTTGAAGGAAACAGGATGCAAAGAGCCAGTAGGTTTATTGGAGGCTGGTATGAAAATAAAGAGTCGGCCTTGACACTAGATGCGAGATGTCAACAGGCACGCAAGCAACTTCAAATACCACTTGCCCCTCAATCGTCGACACGGCTCTTCTAAACATCGCCTGTGTCGAAAATGGAATCAATAAATTGTATATGGTCATGCTTGAGAATGTTACCTCCGCTGCAGCATCCTCGTTGATCCTTGCGAAAGTGTTTGAGAGAATCTATGTGAATGTGTTGGTTTCTCAACGACTCAAGCTTGGCATTTCTTTGTAAACGTACAGAAACGAGAACTAGAGAAGATATTTAGCAATTATATACACGAGTGACGATACAACTCACCAGTCAGTAGTAGAGTGTTGCTCAGACATGCATAAGTGATCATAAGGATAGGTCCGAACACAAAGTCAAATTCAACTGATGAAATAAATTCGTTATCGTAGATCAGCACTAGAAGAACGAAACCTTACAAGCTTTGTCAAAGCCACTGGCATCAAGACCGAACCACAAGTCAAGCATCCACCACGCAATTGTTCTACAGAACATTACTGACTATTGCGATATTCAACAGCTGCTTACTTACCCTGCTGAATACCTGACGAGAAACAGTCAATATAGTCAGCCCCTTCTCACATGTGATGATACAGACCGAGCGTGATTACGACTCAACCTGGAGAAGCCAAAATAAACAGAGGAATGATGCCGTAAAGACCGCTGCACTCACGTCCAGAGAGCATACAAGAACCCACAAAAGCAGAATGCGGCGATCAACATGAGAGCAACAAACTGCATCATCATTGCACGGAGCGATAAAACCATCAAATTATTTTTGAGTGTTACGAAGGCGAGCCTAAACAACGTGCGTCAGTCTTCCTAGGCCAACTAAAGGTATTAAGTAGCACCTTGGAAACATTAAGCATGCAATGACAGCCAGAAAGTCAGTTCCAAGGTCCTGGGCCCAATGTTCTGCGCATATAATCTGTTATCTAGGACGAGTGTGGGTGATAGCATATTGACCCACTGTGTCCATACACGCCATACAGTCTGAAGAAAGCGTAGACACAGTATGCCGTCACTAAAGGGGACCGTGAGTAAGTTATATGGCATTTCATTAGTTAGTCTACCAAATGCTAGATCGAAGCCATTCTTTGCAAGCTGTCAACCACATGAGATCTCTTCGTGGGATGGTTTTGCTTACCCAAGTACCCTTGAAATAAACTACAGGTACATGAGTGAATCTGCTCGAACTTGTGAGCCCAAAAATCTACCTGTGATTCCATGCTCCTGCAGGGTTGCAAGCTTTTCCAGCGCGAAACCGAGGCCATATAACATAAACAAAGTTTCAGGCATATTAATCCTCGAGGGTTCGTTTAATTCAATAGCGACCACAAAAAGGATGAATAAGACGAGGAAGCTAGTAGGGACTCGATTTAGCGAGAAAAAACATACTTATTGTGCCTTACTTGAAGTAATCCAAGACAGAGCGGATAGCAGGGACTTTGAGCCTGTAACAGATGAATTCCAATTCGTGACGAAGATATACTGCATACCGATAATGGTCCAACAAAGGTGCCTTGTGTGGATCGTAGAAATGAATGGGCTTGTGTTTGTATGTCTGCATCGTAATTTAGGGCTGATGAAGCATGTAAAAGTACGATGGCTTACATCGGACAGTATTGAATGACTACTTTTCGCCTGGTATACACATTTACCGCTAAGCAGGAACATGTCAACACGTGAGACGACGATTAAAATGATCGACACACATCCAGATGCCATCGATAACTTTTTGGCATGGGGAACTTTTGATGAAGCGCCTTGCCTTGCCTATGATGGCCATCTCAATTGCATTTCCGACGCATTCCTCGAGATCGTCATCACGTTCCTCCTTTGCCATTTCGACTATATGAGGGTCAGCACCTGACCAGACTTGCCACTTAGTCGTCAGGACAAGTGCCATGTTCAGCATACTGCTTCCGTTATCTCTTAGGCAACGAATAGCGAGTATCTCGCATAGCATGGCGCGCGAAGAGGACAGCGGTCCCGTGGTCAAGTTTTTCTGGTCACGTATGAAATAGACGCGGTTGAGAAGGAAACAAAACACGACGGATTTGTTTCCAGTCCGCTGAATCGCGTTATATTTCTCCTCTAGAGGACGGACGAGAGTGTAGGTCAAATCAGGCCCAATTAACTACCCCCGTCCAAGTTAGAACCTAGTCTATAGCAGAAGAAAGTGAACACTGACCGCCTCCAGCGTCAGGGGTGTATCTGTACACATTGTCAGTACAGCACTGTAGCACTTAATTTGACTTGCCTATGTAGTGCTGTTATCGTATAAGTATTAGTAAAAGAGTTCGCTTGAAGGTATACAGAAGCATACTGTGACGTCCTGTGGTGCAAATGTTAGTAGACTTCTGTGGAAATGATGCATCAATGCATACCCCGCGGATCATATGGATGATGGGCCAAACGACGACATCTTCATGAGCCAGCAGTGGCTGCATTTCCGGCTGAGCTTCTGCCATAGTCTGATGTTAACTTGACAATGACATGAGGGAGGAGGTCATTAGGCGTATCTGCCACATTTTGAGCTCCGACATGCTTGGCAGCACGCGTCTCATCACGCGAACGCGACTCCCACCGACGCCAGATATTCTGACCGTGACCAATAGGACCTGACTCTGCATGCAGGCCGTACAACGAAACGTAGGGCAGTCGCCCCAGGTAAAAATATATAATGCTGTCTATTCGTCGGTTCAGGTTAGTTGACACCATTTTCTTAATATACTAATGGTGGCTGACACGGTCGCGTCACGCTGTAGGTTTATGAGTGTATGGTCCGAGGCATTGCTGTGATGCGCAGACGCGGTGATTCGTTTGTCAATGCTACTCAGATTCTCAAGGTCGCAGGTATCGAGAAGGGTAGGCGTACTAAAATTCTCGAGAAAGAAATTCTGCCAGGTAAGCATGAAATCGTCCAGGGTGGCTACGGGAAATATCAAGGAACATGGTTCGCGCAATAATCAAATTTTAGTTCGGTCGTATGGACTGAACATGACATGTCATCAGGATTCCACTGGAGCGAGGCCGCGACATCGCTGCGCAGTATGGTGTTGCTCCTCTACTAGCTCCTTTGTTCGATTTCACACCTAGCACAAACACCCTTGGGTCGCTTCCAACGGTACCCTCAACGGCATCTCCGCGACCTCTCTCTGCTGCCTCATCCTTTCCAAATCTTGGTACTTCTGGAGGCTACTCACAATCGGGTCTAGCTCCACCTCCCATC